AGGGTGAACACTAACCATTGAGAACACTGATCAGAGCATGCCATCCTATTTTTTTAAATATTTTTATTGATTTCAGAGAGGGAGAGAGTGATGGAAACATCACTGATGAGACAGAATCATTGATAGACTGCCTCTTGCTCGCCCGATACAACCTGATTATGTCCTGACTGGGAATTGAACCATGACCTCCTGGTTCATAGGTCAGTGCTCAACCACTGAGCCACGCTGTCTGGGCCACACTTGATTTTAATAGGTAGTCAACACTGAACAGTTCAGATTGTACTTGTTGGATATCTGAGTAATTTTTCCCACATACAACACTGTGATATTATTTACTGCATGCCAGTAAGTTCATTTCATGGATTCTGCAAAAAAATGTTTTTCCTAGTAGTTACATGGGATCTTCAAAGTAAGTAACAATGGATGCTATTTTTAAGTGGTTTTTAACTATATGATCAAAAATAAGGTGTTGACTATCATTTGGCAATTGTTTTTTGTGCTGCTTCATTAAATATGAACATGGTTTTACATTAAGTAACTAACAGGAATTATTTGATGTAGCAGTAATTTCCTAGACATATTGAACTTGTAAAGAAAATAGTGAAGGCTATACAGGTAAGTTCATAATCATCATCTGTTATTTTGAACTAGAAAAGTATTTTATTATAGTCTAAATTTTAAAAATTATTTTTTGTTAATCCTCTCCCCCCGCTTTCCATTGAGTTTTTAGAGAGGGTGAAAGGAAGGAAGTGGGGAAAGAGAGAGAGACAGAGAGAGAGAGAGAGAGAGAGAGGGAGAGAGAGAGAGAGATTGATTGGAGAGATTGATCGGCTGCCTCCAGGAAGCACTCAAAGGACCTAAACTGCAACCCAGGCTTGCGCCCTTGATCTGGAATCAAACCTGAGACTCTTCTGTGTGTGGGCTGATGCTCCAGCCATTGAGCCACCGGCCAGGGCCCAACTTGTCTTTAAACTTAACCTTGATTATGCAGTGACCAAGGGATTTTTTATTTTAGCCTTTTGAGAACTGGTGCTTGATAAATCTTAGTTTATCACAAGACCATAATACAGATTTTTAAAAATTGCAATGGCTTTAAAAGAATTTGGGGTCAGGTCAAAATTAAGTTTGAAAAATTTCAGTGTTATCTTTCACTCCCAGGTCTTGGTTTACCATCTCAATTGCTTTGCAAATATAGCACATAGAGGTCTGGACCCTTGACTCTGAGGTAATACTAATTTTTCTTAGAAGTTATTAATTGAATATGTTTGATCAAGTCATCAATTTGTACTTTATTGAATTTCATTTGAGTCCTTGCTGAACTTTGATAACCACAGTAAATGTTATTTATGACCTTAGGAGGAGAAGATTGTATATATGTCAATAAATTATTTTCCTGAAAAACATTAGCCATCAATAAAACTGAAAAAATGTGCCTTGTGGTTTAAATAAAAAGTTACAATCTTTTTTCCCTTCATTATTTTCTAGCTTCAATGTTGATATTTACAAATGCTGATTCCTATTTCTTAAATAGAACTTTATGTACTTATTTCTTAATTTTGAGTTGCTTCTTGAATTTAAAATGACCTCTGATTCATTAGTTCAAAACTTAAAATTCTGCTTTTTAAAAGTTTAGACTTCCTTATCACTCAGAATTTGTGAGCTTGCTTGATTTGACAGTGTCAGTTTTCATATATTTCAGATCTTATGAGGTCCTTCTCAGTCCACCTCCCACATCAGAGGTAACCATTATTTTATTCTGATCATCATAGGTCAGTGTTTGCTGTTTTTGAATATCACATAAATGAAATCTTACTCTTTTGCCTCTGGCTTCTTTCACTCAACATAGTGTTTTTGAGATTCATCTGTATTGTTGCATATGTTAGTAGTTGTTTTTATTTTAATTGCTGTCTAGTGTAACCATTAAATATACATGCCGTGTTTTGTTTGTCTAGTCTGTTATTGATACACCCTTGGAATAGCTTCCAGTTTGGGGTTATCCTATATAATAAAAACTTAATATGCTAAGTGTCCAGTCATCCAGTCAGCTGTTCGACCAATCAAAGTGAAATATGGTAATGATATGCTAAGGCCACTCAACCGCTTGCTGTCATGTGCACTGACCACCAGGGGGCAGACACTCTGGCTGGTAGGTTAACTTGCTGCTGGAGTTCGGCTGATTGGGACTGAATGAGATGGGCTGGATACATCCTGCAGCCCAACCTCCCGTGTCCCTCTCTACCCCCAATTGTGCACCAGTGGAGTTCCTTGGCCTGTCCTGCACTCTCACTATCTGGGACCCCTTGGCGGATGCCAGAGAGCCAGTTACAGCCTGATCCCGCAGGCTAGGCAAGGGACCCCGCTGGTACACAAATTTGTGCACTGGCCTCTAGTTGTGAATAAAGCTGCTATGAACATTACTGTACTAGTCATTTACACATTTCATTTTTCTTTGGAAAAAAAGTGTATGAGTGGAATTACTGAGTATAGGGTATAGGTATGTTTCTTATATATTGTCAAACAATTTTCCAAAGTTTTTTGCTTTTCACTCCCATGAGCAGTGTATGTGGATTCTGTTGCTCTGCACACTTGTCTATACTCAGCATAGTCAGTCTTACTGATTTTAGACATTGTAGGGAGTGTGTAGAGGTCTTAAATTGCTTTAGTGGTTTTAAATTGCTTTAGTGACTTCTCATGTGATTACCATTTCATATGCCTTTCCTACTCACCATACCCCCGTTGCTATTTATAGTTAGGCTGTGTGGTTTCATTGCTCTCTGATGCAAAACATCAGCATATGTATAACCTATGGTGTAAAAATAAAAGTGGCTTTGTTAAAATCCTGGAAAATCATATGCTGATGAGAATCCAGAATTAAATGTTCCTATTATGGATTTTTGTTCATATTATGGAAGTTATTCATTATATAATTAAATTTTCAACTCAGCAGTCTTGAAAATTAAAGTGTTCACAATTTTTTTTAAATTTCTAATGATATTGTTACATAATTTGTTCACTATTTAAAACTATTGCTTCAAAGAGAAGAATAAACTTATTATGTTGTCAAGTATTTTACAGATTTGCTTCTTTCATGGGCATTTTCTCAAGTTCAGTATGAAATTATGGCTTTTGAGTTTTTTGCCTTAATCTTTTTGATATTATCTCCATAGACTATTTCTCTAAACTGTTGACATTCTTTGCTGCATTTAAATAGAATCTATTGACATTGTAATAAGAGTACTTCAGTGGAGAGTATCCTGCATATTTTGCCTGTTGTGAACCGCCTGTAATAATAGCATTTGGCTTATTTATTGCTTCAGTCTTCGTCTTTGACATGAAGGCAAATGATCATCAGGTGTGAATACCATGATGTAGATCTTTCTGACATGTTTGATAATGTGGAGCCCCGGCTCTGTTGAGCTTGTGGGTAACAGTACAATTCCTTTATGGTTCCTATGATGGGTGTCTGCTTGAGAGAAAGCCTGCCTTTGAGGTTGACTCTGGCAAGTAGTCTTTCAACATGAGTCCTTATTGAAGTCCTGTTTCTTGGGTTCTTACAAATGTTGTATTTTGAACAGATTTGCAGAGCATTGTTTTTGCCTCTATGCTTGTTGAATCCTGTATGTATTTCTTTCCTTGGAATGCCCTGATCTCAGTAGAAAAGCATACCATTTGTAAATTATAAAAGAGGGAGAACAGTAGGTGCATTATTGCTATTAAGAATGGGACTTTGTATCTTCAATGCTTTATTCTTTATGGAAAGTCTTCAGAAAAGTATATGTAGTATTGGCTGTCTACATTTCTAACTATATGAAAAAACCTTAAGGTGTGGTTAGAGATGCTTCTTCACTGTTAACAATTCAAATGCTTGGCATAGGAGGGTAAAATGCAACATTAACTTGCACATGGTTTTCATTGATGCAGTTTTATACTAAAATTAATTATAAACATTACTTTTGTCCAAAGTGGTGTCACACAGTCTTGTTACAGTTAAGCTTTAAGATTTTAATTAAAAAACTTTTCCTTTAATGCAGTTATTTTTTTCCATATTTGACAGTATCATTTTGATATAGAACTATTCCTTAAGATTAAAGTGCCTCTGTCTTTGTGTATGAACTGTCTCACAGATTTTAAAATCCCAATTACCAGTATCACTGGAAGGAGGGTGCACAGGTGAAGAACTCCACGTGAGGTTTCGTCAGTGTTGATTCTATTGCCTGTACAGGAGACCTGGCCACAGGACTTGACTGGCTTTGAACATTATGTTCAAATAATAACATAAGTCTCCCTTTTAAAGTCTAAATATTGGCAACTAAAATTTGGCTAAATTCTAGTGATAAGAGTTGTGGACTACCGTACTAATATTTCAGGTACCTTATACGACACACATTTTAAAAGGATATGAAACATAAAACTGTGCCCCAATGAAAAATGTGGGGTACACACTCTTTTAGGAGAACATTGTTCCAGGGTTTTTTAGTAGTGTACGTAAAAGTCTTTCTGATGGAGGGCAACAGACATTTATGTGTCCTCCCTCGCTACAAGAATAAAGTTTTGTAAATATAGTAGAAACCGGGATTCTGTGTAGGATTTTGGATAATACGCCTTCAAGAGAACCTATCTAAAGAAAACAAAAAGGATTTAGCAAAATTGTCAATATTTTGAAGATGTAGTGTTTAGAAATTAATAGTGTTTAATGCCAAAATGTAAAAGTGAACTGAATTTTAAGTCAGTTGATCTTTGAGGAAATGAATTAAAGAAACATCATACTGAATGGAAATAATCAGATGTGGTATAGACTTTAAATAGCATCTTAATGAAAACATTACTATTAAGATCTCTAAGGAATGAGTTAACATTTCTGACTTTAAAATCAGTGGTCGCCAACCAGTGGTCCATGGACCACTAGTGGTCCGTGAGGTCTGAAAGCTTGGTGACCACCATTGTAAGTTATTACTGAAACTGGTATATAAAAGGCTAAATTTGATTTTATTGCATCCTAGGATGGAATAACACATGGATGAAGCTACCTGAAATTCTACTTCCAGCATGAATCAAGTTTAGAGATGATGTCCTGAAGTCATTTATTTTCAGGTGTGTCTCTGTTGTAATTTTTTATTCCTTCCTAGTTTTTTTCTTTTTATTTTCTTTATCAATTAAGGTATTGCCTGTGTGTCCTTATCACCCCATTCTTCCCCCTCCTGTCCCCCCACTCTTGCCCTCACCCCCCTGGTATCTGTGTCTATTGATTATGCTTATATGCATGCATACAAGTCCTTTGGTTGATCTCTCCCCCTTCCTAGTTTCTTTGGTAATTTTCCCTTCTGCTTACAGTTGACTTGGTGAACATTCCATGTTCTCTGAGCAAGGATGGAGGTTATTTTTTTTAAGTTTTTGTTTTTAGTCCTTACCCAAGGATATGTTTATTGATTTTAGAGAGAAAGGAAGGGGGTGGGAGGGAGGAAAGGGAAAGAAACAAAAATATCAATTGCCTGTCTCATTTACATGCCTAGACTAAGGATTGAACCTTCAACTTAGGTATGTGCCCTGACCAGGAATGAAAACCATAATTTTTTGGTGTAAGGAAAGACTTTCCAACCAGGTGGGCCACCTGGCCACCACTGGAAGTTATTTTTAGCTCCAAATTGCCCTTGTATTTTTTCCTCAGTGGTAGTAATGTGGCTTGATTTGTCTTTATGTAAAACTGGACTGAGAATAGAAATTACATATTGTCTTACTAAAGGAAAAAAAAATTTCCTCTTGGTGTTCAGCAATCTGAAGCCTAAAATTTTAGTCTTACATTCCCTTGGAGGGACTGTAATCTTAAAATGGTTTAATATAATAAAATCTGATCAATGGTAGGAGAAAGGTCCCTTTCTCCCTTGTTGATTTCCAACCTTTGTAGAGGGATCACACTTTTTATTGTTTTAATTCACACACAAAATTTTGTTAACATTTGTAATTCTGTGATCTTTATGACTAGAATTTGGATAATGTTGTAGTCATCCTGACATATTTATCTTATTTACTGACAAATTTCATTCTCTTGGGACCCAAAACACAAATATTACCTGAGCCTCTTTAAAGTGCAGAATCTCAGGACACACAGTGGAACTACTGCCATTTCAACAAAACTCAGATCGCCATGCACACTGAGGGACTTTTGAGAAGTTCAACCTTTTAAAAATATCTAACACCTCATGCAGCCCCGAAATGTGACAGCCACTTTGTGTACTAGAAAAGTAATGTCGGGCAATGGTTCTCAAAGCTAGTCCCTAGCAGTGTTATCACCTGGGAACTTGTTATTATAGAACATGCTCGGATCCACCCTTGCTCCACTAAAAAAATCTTGGAATGGGCAACGTTATTTTTGTTTTTTTGAAAAGCCCTACAAATAGCCCAGCTGTTGTGGCTGAGTGGTTGAGTGTGAACCTATGAACCAAGACGTCACTGGTTCGATTCTTGGTCAAGGCCCATGTCTGGGATGCAGGTTCCATCAGTAGGGGGTATGTAGGAGGCAGCTGACCAATAATTCTCATTGTTGATGTTTCTCTCTCTCCCCCTTTTTCCTCTAAAATCTGGTTTCTACTAGAGAATCACCTATGAGTCAAGAAAAAAAAAAAATCTAATATATATGTAGGCTAAATGCACCACACACAAGAGCATTTGTTATTGGAACTTTGGGATTTTAAAATAAGTTAATTTTGGTAAAAAAAAAAAAAAAAAAAAAAAAAAAAAAAAAAAAAAAGTGCCCGGCCAGCATTGCTCAGTGATTGAATGTTGACCTATAAACCAGGAGGTCATAGTTCAATTCCCATCAGGGCATGTGCCCAGGTTGTGGGCCTGATCCCGTGTGGGACAGCTGAAAAATGATCTCTCTCATCACTGATGTTTCTCTCTTCCTCTCTGAAATCAATATCCTATACCTCATATGCTAAATGTCCAGTCATCTGGTTGGTCATTCAACCAATCAAATTATAATATGCTAAGGCCTCTCAACTGCTTGCTGTGATGTGCACTGACCACGAGGGGGCAGTCAACTGGTCAACCAGTTGCTATGACATGCACTGACCACAAGGGGCAGACGCTCCAACCAGGTTAGTTTGCTCCTGGGATCCAGCAGATTGGGAATGAGCGAGATGGGCCAGACATGCCCTTCCATAGCCCCTCCCTGACCCCTGTCATGCACTGGTGGGGTCCCTTTGCCTGGCCTGCGCCCTCTCACAATTCGGGACCCTTTGGGGGATGTCACAGAGCTGGTTTTGGCCTAATTCTGCATGCCAGGCTGAGGGACCCCACTGGTGCCCAAATTTATGCACTGGGACTCTATATACACACACATTACAGTATCTATTTTTCATACAGAATTTTATTTTCTAGTCAGTGAAAAGATACTGTTCATTCCAGGAAGATAATAAAATAATTTTCTGAACATTAAATTAGTAAAATATCAAATACTAATTAAATACTCATAGAAGGAAGTGACGTGACATGACATAGAAGGATATTTTCTTTATAACAGAATGCTTGTAATGATATGGGAGGAAAAAAAAAGACGTAAAGCAACTGAATTTCATTTGCGAGTTTATTACTCCATATAAGCAATGTATACATATAGGAGCAATAACACGTAAAATTTATTTATTAAATATATTTTATTGATTTTGTACAGAGAGGAAGGGAGATAGTTAGAAACATCGATGAGAGAGAGTCATCGATCAGCTGCCTCTTGCACACCCCCTATTGGGGATATGCCCACAACCAAGGTACATGCCCTTGACCGGAATCGAACCCGGGACCCTTCAGTCCCCAAGCCGACACTCTATCCATTGAGCCAAACAGGTTTTGACAATAACACTTAACATTTAAAAAATTAGGCATTGCGGACAAATTCTCCATGGTTTAAATATCTGTAATAGAGCTAACATTACATTTTTATTCAGTTTTTGGTTTTATTTTAAAGATGTGTACCTACTCCTTGTGTAGTCTTTCTGGTTAAAGTTCGAAAGTATGGTAGCAGCCCACACAGAATAACTGACAATCCACCTTTTCAACTCTTTGTGAATAGGAACCATTGGAGGGATTTTTACCCCATGCGATTTTGGGTCAGTCTCCAGGATAAGGAGCCATTCAAGTAGTTTGTCATTGTTATGAGAAAAATCATGTTTTTACTAAAACATGTATCTTGGCCCGAGGAAAGTAAGTGGGCGATATGAGTAAGGCAGAGATAATATGTTGTAGGATAATGGAAATCATATTCTTACCAGTTAAACTGGTTTAGATTCCAACTGGGAGTCCTCTGGGAGCTCAGGATGATAGATAACTATTTCCCAATTTTGTTTTGTTCCTGATTTGTGAACCTTGTTTCATTATAATTTCCGGCTTATTACTAGGGCTCCTATGTTCAGGGAGGTAGATACAGTCTGGGTTGGAAAGAAGTATTATCTACATGTTTGCACAGGATGGAGGAAGCAAGCTGTATTCTATCAGCCATTCTCTGAAATGAGCAACATTTAGTTTTTAGGTGTTTATACAGTATTATGCTAGGGAACATTAATTGTATGAAACATTTTAAAGTTCTCATTTTTGAAGTCAATTGTGGCTATTATGGTATGTAAGGTTTGGTGAAAGTAGATTTACCCTTTTCTGTTTCTCCCAGTTTTTACTCGAAGTCTAGGCTTTCATGGTAAATGGCTTGTGAGGCCTTCTCACCGTTAATACTCTGTCAGCACTGGTAAGGTATCCTGTGACTTAATGCTAACAGTGTAGCTGGCTGGCATGGCTCAGTGGTTAAACCTTGTCCTATGAACTAGGTCATAGTTACCAATCAGGGCACATGCCCAGATCTCTAGTGGGGGGAGTGCAGGAGGCAGCAGATCAATGATTCTCTCTCATCAATGTTTTCATCTCTCCCTCTCCCTTCTTCTTTGAAATCAATAAAAGTGTATTTAAAAAAAAATAAACCTAACAATGTAATGGTGAGAATTTTAAAAGCACCTGAGTTTCAAATTGCAACCTCCTGACATTCCACTGAGTAAATTCTACAAATTTAATAATTCAGATGGAATTACTTGAGAAGACAGTGTATGAAATTAAGTAATTTCATATCTTTGCACTGAAACCAAATTATTTAACTGTAGTCCATCTTTTAGTGAGTATTATGATACTTCTCTTTGGTACTATGTACTGCAGATAAAAGAATGTGTAATGTGCTGTCTATAAACTATACTCAGAGCAGATCTGAATGGTGCAGTTAGGAAGTTAAATTGACTGAATAACCCAATTATGTGCCCTTATGTCATTATACATTGGAAAGGAGTAATGGCTGAAGAGTGATTTTTTTTTTTTTTTTTAAGATAAAATTGGAGCAAAAAGCTATTACTTCTTTTCAGTGAGTCTGGCCAAAGAAGAATGCATCCCATTTGTGATGACCTGCTTAATCATGAGATCACCTGTGGTTGAAATGATACACTCAGGTATGTGTTCTGTATTATTTATACATATTTTATACAAGGAGATTGTTTTGTTTTGACCTGTAGTACTATGCCTATCTGAATTCCTTTTGGTAAGTTACTACTTAGAAATTGATTTGATTCCTAGAGAAATCGTTGCTCATACCATCCTACATAATAAAGAGCTAATATGCAAATAGTTGAAACGCCCTCACGGCATCATGCTGTAATGTCTGACACTCAACCAGGGCAGAGAGGAATGGGGACCAGCTAGGTTGTGGCCTGGGAGAGGGACAAGTCGCCTGCCACACAGTCCTGGGTGCCAGCAGCTGCGCTCCGGGAGAGGGACAAACTGCCCACCCATGGTCCCCTGCAGCTGTGGCCGGCCAGGTAAAGCCGGCCTGGGTCCTGGGTGCCTGCGACCAGCTGGAGGAGGGAATCCCACATCATGAGTGCGTGATCAAGCCAGCAGGGGAGCAGTTAGGGTTAATCAGGCAGGCAGGTGAGCAATTGGGAGACAGTGGTACTGGATTGTGAGAGGGATGTCCGACTGCTGGTTTAGGCCTGATCCTGGGGCCTAAACTGGCAATTGGACATCCCCGAGGGGATCCCAGATCAGAAAGGGTCAGGATGGCCTGAGGGGCACCCCATGTATGAATTTCATGCACTGGGCTTCTAGTTTACATATAAGAAACTAGAACTTTCAGCATTTTCCACTCAGGGACAAGTATACTTTCAGAGAAGCTATAGTTTTGAGCAACTGTATTAAATTATGTATCTCTAGATATATTCCAGTAGACATACTGTTGACATAATTTACTAGCACATCTGTTACAACGTGGTAGAAAACTGACTCACACTTTCATGTTCTCTGATCCTGGTTCACTGAAATAACTAACCCATTTTTCCCTCTGATGACTTTTCATAGCTCACTCTTATTTCTCAACCTAAACTCTGTCTTATTTTCTACCCTAGATAGCCATGTCTCCTGATAAGTAGAATATATTTGTTTAATATGTTTTTGCAAAGTAGCTATGACCTAATAGAAATTTTCTTAGAAAGCCCATTCCTCTTATATGTACTGGACCCTTAATGTTCCTGATCTTTTGCACTGTTGCTAACTGAAATCTCAAGTTTTTTCAAAAGCTATGAAATCAGATACAGTACTAGTATAAAATTTAGCTAAAACTACACATTTGGTATCCCCTTGTTTTGTGATACAAAGAAATAAAGACCAGCATTGTGGTACTTTAATGCGAAAACTGGGAAAAGACAGTTTTAATCTGTGAAATAAAAATGGCTGAATTGTAAACACAATGTATAGGGTCTAATATGTGACATTCTGAAAAACATGTTATTAAAATTATTAGGGGCTCGGTGCATGAAATTTGTGCACAGGGTGGTGGGGGTGTGTCCCTCAGCCTAGTCTGCACCCTCTCAAATCTGGACATCCCTCTCACAATCCAGGACTGCTGGCTCCCAACTACTTGCATGCCCGCCTCCCTGATTGCCCCTAACTGCTTCTGCCTGCCAGCCTGATTGATGCCTAACTGCTCCCTTGCTGGCCATCTTTTTCTTAAAAAAAAAAAAAAAAAAAAAAAAAAAAAAAAATTATTTTTTACAGAGAGGAAGAGAGAGGGATAAAGAGTTAGAAACATCGATGAGAGAGAAACATTGATCAGCTGCCTCTTGCACACCCCCTACTGGGGATGTGCCCACAACCAAGGTACATGCCCTTGACCTTTCAGTCTGCAGGCCGATGCTCTATCCATTGAGCCAAACCGGTTTCAGCCCTGCTGGCCATTTTGGGTCCACATGGGGGTGGCTATCTTGTGTGTTGGAGCGACAGTCAATTTGCTTATTACCTCTTTATTAGATAGGATAACTCACAATTATCAAACTAATCAGGAACTACATTTTAAACATTTCTTTAATCCAGACTGAGCTTGATTTATTAGTTTTATCTATGGAAAAGTCCATAGGAACACTAACCCCACATGAGGTAAAAGCTGCAAAACTGGTCTGGCCTCCCAGTATTCAAAGTAAGGGCACATGTAATATTTCTATTTCTTAGGCTTTGATCTTTTCAAATAAAGGATAACTGGAAACATACAAAGATGTCTTCTTCCAACTTGGGATGTGTGGCAACTGCATATCAGAAATAGATCAGACTTTTTTGCTCAAATTTCAAGGGGGGGCATATTCACACTTTATTTACAGAAATTCACCTGGGGTAGTAGAAAACTTCAAGATAAAAAGAAAATTTCAAGTTAGAAAGTAATTTTCTTAAATAATCCTGTACCATTCCACATTGTGGAAAGTATACAGTTCAGACACAACACCAATTTCAGAGCATTGGCACAAATACTTACATTTCTGAATTTTATAATATATTACAAAGAACAAATTATGTCCCACATATAACAGATGATAGGCCTTAAAACTGCATGAGATTTACATATCATACTTTAAATTTGGAAAAGTTAGCTGTTCCAGAATTCCAAACTGCTTGGAAGGGAGTATTTTAAAATAGGTCTGAAAGCCATTCCATCCTAATTCTTTGTTTATCATTGCAGCTGCACTCTGTACGCACCTATTAGCAATTTCACCTGTAGGAAGCAAAAAAAAAAAAAATCATATAGATGAGCACAAGAGATAGTTATCTTTTCTTAAAAGAGGGGAGAAACATACATGTCCAAGACTTGTTCCTGTTATTTGCAGTATTCTCAAATCGGTCATCAATTTAAGTGGCTAGATTATCACTATTTTATTGATTTTTTACAGAGAGGAAGGGAGAGAGATACAGAGTTAGAAACATCAATGAGAGAGTCATCGATCAGTTGCCTCTTGCACGCCCCCTACTGGGGATGTGCCCGCAACCAAGGTACATGCCCTTGACGGGAATCGAACCTGGGACCCTTCAGTCTGCAGGCCAACACTCTATCCACTGAACCAAACCGGTTAGGGCAAGATGCAGTGTATTTTATATCTGCCATATTTTACATTCATATTGCACTGACTTCTACCCCAGAGAGCACAGGTCTATAGGACAGGCATATGAAGTAGGCACAACATAACGTTGTCTAGCATAACAATTTGAGTAGGAACAATAAATATGCGGAAAGACTTCTCACCTTAGCAGAGGGTGCTTCTGTCAACCTTATAAAGAGTTTATTGAAGCCTGCAACAGGGCTGAATGAGTAAACAAAATGACTATCCTAGGGAAAGAGACAAAAAAAGGGTCAGTATTTCTTCCAAAATCTACATCTAGAAATAGCTAGAATAGCTAGCCCAGTTGTCAGCAAACTCATTCGTCAACGGAGCCAAATATCAACAGTACAACAATTAAAATTTCTTTTGAGCCAAATTTTTTAAACTTAAACTTCTTCTAATGTCACTTCTTCAAAATAGACTCGCCCAGGCCGTGGTATTTTGTGGGAGAGCCACACTCAAGGGGCCAAAGAGCTGCATGTGGCTCGTCAGCCGCAGTTTGCCAACCACGGAGCAAAGCCAAATCTGAAGAGACTAGAAACCTTTAAGACTCTAAGTTTTGTATTAGAATTCATGGGATAGTAAACTGTGATTTCTTTAAATTTCCCTTGACTTATTGAAAAGTTACAAAAAACCCCCCAAACAATATCCAGGTAAATCTTTATGATTAGAATGCACCCGGTAACATACAGCATAAATGTTAGAGATCTTAGTAACTATGTAATTTTGCTTCATTCAGCCTAAGGAAAGAGTTCCTAATGTGCCAAGGAATCATGCATTAAGGTTCTTCAAGGGCATTTTTTTATATTAAAAAGAAAGGTCTACAGCCACTATATATTATTACTTTAAATATAAATTTTAGCATAACAAAAGCTAAAGTTAAGCATAAATTAAGCACAAATACAACCAATGTCCTACAGTAGGATACTGGTTGTATTTGATTATTTGAAGCTATAAACAGGTATAGTTTTCTTCTTTGTTGAATTTCCTGTAAGTGAATGTTTACAATTATAATGATGGGAAACGTCCACCATATATTCTGTATATGTTATTTTTGACAAAATTTAGGATTACAGATTATTGCCTCATTTCCAACAACAGTTTACTGAATTATAATTAAATTTTATTAAAACATAGCCATTTAAGTCATCTTTTGATTAGAAAAATGTACTTTTCAGTAATGAACTACAGGAGAATCTTACCAGAAAAACAGGAAGTTGAAATTTATCATTTAAAATTACAGCTTGTACACTACATGGGCCACAGAGTCGAGCAATAACATCTTTACCCAAAAAATTCGCATGGAAAATGAACAGCAGGATGCCGGAGCCTGAGCAGGAGAGATGCACACACAGATTTTTAACCCAATCCTTGAACCTCCACCTTCCAGTACCCTAAGGGAGGAGCTGAGGGTAGGGGTAGGCAGGGTAAAAGGACAGACACAACTTGTGTGCCATGCCCATTCTCTCCTCCCTAGTGAAGGACTCCTTCGAATTTCCAATAGCTATTGTTATTTTTTTTGTCTTTGTAATAGTTCCTATTGATAGCTCATGGAATGGACTTCTAAAAATGTGCTTTTCTACAGTAAAATTATTATTTTGTTTGAAAAGAAATGGCATTTGCTGAATACATAGATATCTCTGGAAGTAAACCACTGGCATTCTATGGGTAGTTGTGTTTGGGTGTGGGTTTGAGTGATTTTCTGTTTTCTTCCACATACTGGTTTTGCCTTTTCCAAATTTTATGATTAATAGAAAAAAATCTCATTTTGGGGAAAAAGAAAAGCGTGAGATTTAAAAAAACTCAAGAATCTAGCAAACTGCCGGGACTGGTTTGGCTCAATGGATAGAGCGTCGGCTTGGGGACTGAAGGTCCCGGGTTCGATTCCGGTCAAGGGCATGTACCTTGGTTGCGGGCAGATCCCCAGTAGGGGGTGTGCAAGAGGCAGCTGATCGATGACACTCTCTCATCGATGTTTCTAGCTCTCTATCTCTCTCCCTTCCTCTCTGTACAAAATCAATAAAATATATTAAAAAAAAAAAAAAAGAATCTAGCAAACTGTGCGGGGTGAGGGCAGGAGGCGGGGAGGATGTGACGGCGGTGGGTGGAGGCTGGGGTGTGGGTGCACAGTGCAGTAGGTAGGAGACGGGCTGTCGAGTTGTGCGCACCTGTACAACCCGAGCGATTCAATGAAAAGGAAAAGGAAGTTAAAACAAATATTCTACAACACTAATTTTGGAGAAAGCTGTACTTTTTAAAAGAATAGTTTATTGATTTTTAGAGAGGGGGGAGGGAGAGGGAGATTGTGGGAGTGAAATACCAATGATCATCTGCCTCCTGCACACTCAGTGGGGATCAAGCTCCCAAGCGCATGTGCAGCCCTTCAGGGCATGGGACCGTGGCCAACCACAGAGCCACACCGCCAGGGCCCTTTGCTTTCTTGATCCTGGTCCCAGGGAAGGAAGGGCAGTCAGACTACGGTATGACAGTGATTTTGTTTTCATTAATAGTCAAAACTACAAATTATAATTCTTCAGTGCCAACTTCACCAAATAGTGAGTGGTTATGAAGGGCTGTCAATTATTGATAGGGCTAGATTTTTTTTAATTTTTATTGGAGGGGCTAGATTTTCTTGAATACATTGGTGATAGGGTTTTAAAATTGGTGATAGGGTTTTACTTATTTAAACAAAACAAGAAAAAGCCAGGAACCAGCTTGCTCCTTTTAGGAAGAGACTCGGCTTTCTGTGTGTGGCATCTGGGTCCTAGAGAAGGCACGGTGGCCAGGAAGCAGAACTGAAGTTTCTATTTTCTGCTTTTACAATTATTAAAGGGCAGACATATATTTTTTCTTTATAAAAGGCCAAGAGACTATTACCAATAAACCCAGAAAAGAAATTGATTCTGGGCTCAGAGTGTAAAAATTTAAACAAAAACTAGTACAATTATTAAGACCAAACATCCATACTTTATAAACAAGTTTTATAACATGCTCTGTAGACCCATCAAAGTCACCTGGGATGGTAGATATCAGCTGGTCTCTTTTTTTTCTGCCAGAGCAACTCTGATGATAATTATTATACTAATACCCTGTTTCCCCGAAAATAAGACAGTGTCTTATATTAATTTTTTCTCCCAAAGTTGCACTAGATCTTATTTTCAGGGGATGTTTTATCTTTCCATGCGCTAGGTCTTATTTTCGGGGAAACACGGGTAGAATTTTTTAAAAGATTTGTTTAAAGAATGAGCTAAATTAATCAGCGAACAGCTATAGGGTCACATTTCAAACTGAGAAAATGTAGGCTTACCTTCTGTTATGTTCTGTGGAGGTTTATAATTGAAATCCATTGAAAAATCTGGCCCCTCACAGAGACGATGACATGCTATTGGAAAAATTGGTTCTAGAAGTGCAAGGCGTGCTTCAAAGTAATCCTTTATGGTTTCTTCTGCTACTCTTGAAAGTCTTAACAAAAAGTATGTAGTAAGAGTTTAAATATTAATGTAAAAAGGGATCATAAGCCATAAAATTATGGAATTATTGAATCCATATCAACCTTAAAAATAACATGCAATTCCCTTATCCCACTACTCTGCACTCAGCATCTGACATGCCATTTGTCCTCTCACAAGGATTCTGGTTTCATGAGCGCAATCCTCACCCCCACTGCTCTCTCCATCTCTCCATCAGTCTGGAAAGTGCTTGGCACATAGTGTTCAATAAATATGTATCTAATAAATGAATGATCAATTTGGAGAATCAGAAATGAGAATTCTGTTTAAAAATAAATCTAAGAATTGACACACACACAAGCAGTCAAATAAAATTAGTGCTAATTTAGAAAACCTTTCTTAATTTAAACAGTTTTTAATGAAAGCTGTATGTAAGATTATTTTATTCCTGTGTTTTCTCAATTGTTTCTTCCTTTTATTTACCTCCTCCTCCTTTTTTTTTTTTTTAACTTGGTTTTACCCTCAAGGATCTTTTTGTTGTGTTTGTCCAGATTTAGTCTAGTGATAACCATCTTGCTGGGATGAATGGACTATGAGATTTCTACAGATGGCATTTCTTCCTGTAAACCTTGAGTATTTTGCCAATTTTTAGATGGGCATGAATTAAACATTGTACATCTGCCTCAGCTCTTTGAAAACAGGAGATATATGTGGGAAAATGCATTGAAATGATCTTTATGGGTTTTGTTCCCAACAGAAGTCACAAAGGAATTAAACTTCATTTTTGGATGCTGCTGCTTCAATGAAGGCCACAAAAGGGCAGAAGCTATCTCACTAAGAAGCTAACCAACTCACCTGGTTTGCCCAGCACCCCAGGAATCCCTCCATCATGCAAATCAGGATGGCTGGTTGACCAACTTGCAAGCTATCTTGATCTATATTACCCATGTGAACAAACTGAGATGCGCTGGCTTTCCAGAATTCCATGCTGGTCAGTCACACAAATTATTAGTTGGGCCTTGGCCAGTGTTGCTCAGTGGTTAGAATGTTGGCCCACACATGGAAGGGCTTGGGTTTGATTCCTGGTCAAGGGTGCTTACCTGGGTTGCAAGTTCAATCCTTGGGCTCAGTTGGGGTGCATGTGGGAGGCAGCCAGTCCATGTGTCCTTTCACATCAGCGTCTCTCTCTCTCTCTCTCTCTCTCTCTCTCTCTCTCTCTCTCTCTCTCTCTCTCTCTCTCTCTCTCTCTCTCTCTCTCTTCCCCCACCCCCCTCCCTTCTACTCTCTAGAAATCAATGGAAAAATATCCTTGGGTGAGGATTAACAACAAAAATCAATGCATTAACAAAAAAATTCTGGGTTGGGTGAGGCTCTCCTCAAAGTCTGTTAAAGGGGCACACTCACTAGGCACACAGTCCTTTATATTGACCTTTGCTGCCTTTTTTGTCTCCAAAACTGACCTTACTTTCTGCTTAGAATATAGATCTCCTACACCTGGAATTGGAGTTACCATCTTGCAGACATGAAGATCCAAGTCAGATTCTAACTATGGTGGATGAGAAAGAGGCTATTCCTGCCTAAGACTGCCTACCTCTATACTCGGTTATATGAATAATAAACACTTTCTTGTGTTTAGTTAGCTACTGTCTGTGATGTTTCTGTTATGTGCTGCCAAAATAAATGTCTTAGAAGAATTCATTTGAAAAAGAATGGATAAATTGTGAAGCGTCTAGTCAACGGAATGATTCAGCATTAAAAAGAAATGAGCTATAAAGCCAGGAAAAAAACACGGAGGACATTTAAATGCATATCAGTAAGTAAAAGGCCATCTGAAAAGGCTACCTACTCTATGATTCCAACTATGTGACATTCTGGAAAAGGCAAAACTATGGAGACGAAAAGATCAGTGGTTTTCACTGTTTAGACGAGGGAGGGATGAATGAATAAGTGGAGCCCGGGGACTTTTAGGGCAGCGATACTATTCTGTGCGATTCTATTATATGATGGTGGGCATGTGCCATCTATTTATCAAAATCCACAGAATGTACACCACCAAGTGTCTACGCAGGTTCGTTAACTGCAACTTTGGTAGAAGAGGTGGGGAGGCTGTGCATGTGTGCGGCAGGGGCCACATGGAAAATCTCTTTACAGGTACTTTCTGCTCAATGTCACAGAAAGCCTGAAAGTGTTCTAAAAATTGTGTCCATTAAAAAACAAAACAAATCAGGAATGAACTAAAATTTAAGAAAGTGTTTGTGAGCCAAATTAAGAGCCTCGTAATGATTTTGAGATGCTTCTAGATTAAGTTTAAAAGTTTCTAAGACCTGTAGAAAAGTAATTCATATGCCACTTAAATCTGATTTAAAAAAAAAACCAAAAACAAAAACCTGTAGTACATCTACACAATGGAATACTACGCTGTGGTAAAAAAGGAGTTCTTACCATTTGCGACAGCATGGATAGAACTGGAAAGCATTATGCTAAGCGAAATTAGCCAGTCAGAGAAAGATAAATATCACATGCTCTCACTCATTTATGGAATATAATGAAAAACGTAAACTGATGAACAAAAACAGGTCCAGAGACCGAAAAGCATTAATCAGACCGTCAAAACTCAGGTTGAAAGTAGGGGAGGGTGGGGAAAAGGGGGAGAGATCAACCAAAGGACTCGTGCATATAGGCCTAACCAATGGACACAGACAACGGGGGAGGGGGGGGGTAAGGGCACGAGTAGGGGGGTGTGTGTGTGGGGGTAACAGGGAAATGACATCTATATAATACCTTAATAAAGAAATTTAAAAAATAGATTAAAAAACACACACACAAAACTGTGAAGAGCAGCCCACTGGGACCTCTACTTGACAATCTTCTGAGCAGTTATATTCCAGTGTGTGTGTTTAAATAATTTATATAGAGGACCTGCTTCCAGAGGGAGATAAAGTTTGATAGAGGAACATAGCAAGGCGTTTCTTTCTTAATCCTCATGAGGATATGGTTTTTTTATTTTGGGGAAGGAAAAGGGGTGGGAGGAGAGAAATGTGAGAGAGAAACATCTATCATTTGCCTCCCGTACACACCTCAATTGGAGATCGGACTCACAACTTAGGCATGTGCCTGACTGGGAATCAAACCTGCAACCTTCTGATGTATGGGATGATTGTTTAACCAACTGAGCCACTCTGCCAGAGCTAGGCCATTCCTGTTTTGATGTGTCCAGCCCTGTAACTTAACTATGGCACAGTCACTGCACACTTACGTGTCTAAATGATTCTTCAGCAAGTCGTACACCAACACGTTGTTACACTGCTTTGCAAAATACATTGCACTATTTTGGTGCTTTGACAAAATATTACAGTCAGCTCCACATTCAATTACAAGTCGTACAATATCCAAATTTCCCCTTTTACAGGCCTAAGACAAAAAAAAAGGGGGGGGGGCAATAATTAGCTAAAAGTAAGTTTGCCAGTCAGTGTTTGCCCCTTTCTTCACACATGAGCCAGCCTGGGAGCTCTCTGTAAGAAGCCCAGAGTTGGGTCTCGCCGGGTATTGGAAACATTTACATGAACAGGTGGGTCCAGTACACAAATCTGTGTGCTACTTCAAAATGACACCTCTATCCCAACACAAGAAACACCAGGCCTTTCTAAGCTCCACTCTGCATCCTGTCCTGTTGTCCTATCACCTAACACCTCCGGCGGCGCCCAGGGGAGAAAGCCTGCGCCTCAGTCTTGGAGCGGGAATCAGCCCGGGGAGTCTGAAGCACCTCTTAGCATCACAAAATCTCAGAACTTTCCTGGCAGGTGCACTGAAGAGACTGAACAAGCATGGATGCACATCTGAATTTACCACTCCAGAATGGCCCTGACACCACTCTGGAGTATCTGTTAAGAGCCTGTTAAGTTTGGTGATTTCTCAGTAAGATGGTTTTAATTATCTGTTAAGTTTGGTGATTTCTCAGTAAGATGGTTTTAATTAATTCTTTATATGCCCCCTCTGCTCTAAACATTGGATAATTAATTTACAAACATAATGGAAAACAAATTCAAAAGTAGGGCTCCTGAAAAAAAAGATTTCCATGATCCACCAATGAAAATAGAAACACAAACAGTGAGCCGGGTTTAAACTCTAAGTGTAAAAGCCTAAGGCTGAAGCAGTAGGTGTGCCAGGCCTTGAGTATAATGAATTAGAAAGCAGATTCAGGCAAAAGGAAACCAAGATGGCAGCATAGGTAAACACCTAAACTGCTGCTTAGCAATTTCAAAACTACAACTAAAAGACAAAACGGACATCATGCAGAACCACAGGAATGCTAGCTGAGTGGAAATTCTACAACTAGAAGGAAAGAGAAAAGGACACTGAGACTCAGGATCTGTGGAAGGCAGAGGTACTGAGGCGCACACATGGAGAGGATGGGCGACTGAGTACGTGGCGCTGGCTTTCTCAAGAGGGAGGAAGACAAAAGCTCCTGACTGCACTAAACTCTAGTTCCAGGCGAGACTCTGGGGACCCAGACTCATTCTGACAGCAGGCTTTCAGAGGTGCTTGCAGCGATTACCATAAGACACTGAGACACAGGGCCTATTAGGGCAGGGCTGACGGGAAACCAATGCTGTCTGCTCTGCCCTGAGACTCAGCCCCATCCAAGCTGAGCACAGAGGCTCTTGCAAGTCTTGTCTCATAGAGTATCCCTAGCACAGAAGATCTCCCAGTGTAGACAAAGCTGATCCTCACAGCCAATTGGCCTGGAGGTCAATTCCTCCCAGTGATACCAATAACAATCAAGGCTTAACTACAAGACTGTGCACACAGCCCACAAAGGAATGCGCCAAGAGTGTCCACCTCAGGTAACTGGGGAATCTGAGCCACCGGGCCCTATAGGACACCTAGCACACAAAGCCACTCTATCAACTCAGGGAAGCAGTGAAAATGCAGAAACAAACAGTTCACAAATGAAAGAAATGGAGGAAAGCAAATGACTGGATATAGAGTTTAAAACCATGGTTATAAGGTATTTTAAGAATTTTCTAGAAAAGGCCGATAAATTTAGTGAGACCCTCGAGGATATGAAAAAGGACCAACTAGAAATTAAGCATACACTGACTGAAATAAAAAATAATATACAGAGATCTAACAGCAGACTAGAGGATCACAAGAATCAACTCAAAGATTTGAAATACAAAGAAGCAAAACATCCAAACAGAAAAGCAAAAAAAAAAAAAAAATCCAAAAATATGAAAATAGTGTAAGGAGCCTCTGGGACAACTTCAAGTGTACCAACATCAGAATTATGGGGGTGCCAGAAGAAGAGAGAGAGAGAGCAAGATACTGAAAACCTACTTGAAGAAATAATGACAGAAAACTTCCCCCACCTGGTGAATGAAATATACTTACAAGTCCAGGAAGTGCACAGAATCCCAAACAAAAGGAATCCAAAGAGGACCACACCAGGACACATCATACTTAAAATTCCAAGAGCAAAAGACAATGAGAGAATCTTACAAGCAGCAAGAGAAAAAAGTTAGTTACCTACAAGGGAGCACCCATACTATTGTCAGCTGATTTCTCAACAGAATCTAAGGCCAGAAGGGAGTGGCAGGAAATATTCAAAGTGATGAATAGCAAGAACCTACAACCAAGATTACTCTACCCAGCAAAGCTATCATTCAGAATTGAAGAGCAGATAAAGAGCTTTACAGATAAGAAAAAGATAAAGGAGTTCATCAACAGCAAACCAGAAATGTTGAAAGTATTCTTTAAGAAGAGGAGGGAGAAGAAAAAAGTAAGGATAAAACTTATGAACAACAAATACTATATATCTATCAAGTGAATAAAAAAATCTGACAAACAGAATAAACTGGTGAATATAATAGAAATACGGGGCATAGAAAGGGAGTGAACTGACAATTCTCAGAGGAGGAAAAGGAATGGGAGGTGTGGGAAGAGACTAGACAAAAATTGAACACCTGTGGATGAGTACGGTGGGGGGAGGGTGGTAAGGGCAGAGCGTGGGGTGAGAACTGGGTTGAGGGGAGCTATGGGGGAAAAAGAGGAGCAATTGTAATAATTGATTTAAAGATTTATTTAAAAAAAAACACCCACACACAAAAAAACTGCTGTATCCTAATAGCATTTTAGGTCAGGAACCCAGAACTGCCCCAGGAACAGACTAGAACATACAGAATTTGCCCCATAGATGCAAATGCAAAACCATTAACCATGGAGGGGTAATACAGGAGGCTTTAACCACCTTCCCCTTAAAACTATCTGCAAACCACAATTCCTAACATACAAAGGATGAAATGATAAATTCACCAATAAAAACTAGAGCACAGTCTCCACTTCTCCATTCCGTGGGCCACTGGGAGCCATAGGACTGACCTTGTCTGAACTCTGCTGCTCACCTCCATTCTCACTCCTCTCATGTCACTCCTCACACCACATGGTAAGTGCTTCTTAGATGGTCTGCTTTTCCCATTTATCCTCATGTGCGAGTCCAGAGATTAGATCGTTCCCTATTATATCCCGAGACCCCAGCTGTCAGAGGCCCTAACATGCACATCTGAGACGTAGAGGGAATGAGCAATCATGTGAGGCATTTACCTTCATTAAAGCGGTTTCACCACTGCTCTGCTGGACATTTACAAAAGCTCCTGCTTCCAAAAGAATAGCCACTGTGGTTAAAAAGTTCTATTAAAAAAAAGAAAACAAATTTAATTTTTGAAATTCTTACATTCAAAATAAGGTATTTTGGGATATTTTGAAACTTTTATCCATTAGAAAAAAGACAGATTGTATCCCAAGCAGTTAGGTGAAGTTTCCTGGTTTTTTACTATGCAGATGTAGGGTCCTGAGAGAACCACAGGTGCTGGGTGGGTTCAGTCCCCTGTCCAGTCACACTCCATTTGTCCAGTAAGTTCAATCTGAGGGTTAACACTGCTTTCTACATAAGATCCTCTGCATAGCAACCCTTTAGGTAGATAATATATTGGAACATTTTAATTATTTTTAATTGGAAATTATTTTTTTAAAAGACCAATTGATTGCAATTGAAACTGATTTTAGTAACTTAGAGGTCCTGTTGAATATAAATCACTTCCAACTAGATAATTATTTTGAAAGTTCAACATCCATTCCTAACAAGTCACAGATAAACTGAGATATAAAATTAAGTTTCCTGTGTGATTTATATTTCACTACAGTTGTCTTAGTTCAGGAGCATGAATTGCTGCAAGACTGAAACAGCTGCACTGGAGTGACCAACCTTTTCAGCTGCATGAATGAGCGCGGTGGTCCCATTCCTCTGTCTGCCGTTCACGCCAGCTCCCTTTCTGATGAGGAGCCTCAATAGGTCATCCTGACCTCCAGCTGCAGCCAGCATCACCAGTGTCATCCCACTTGAATCCTTCATTAGTTTGGTTTAAGGAAAAAACGTCAATGTTTAATCAGGAAAATTTTATAACTAAGTTTTTTTCTTTTTTCTAAATATATTTTTATTGATTTTTTACAGAGAGGTAGGGAGAGAGATAGAGAGCTAGAAACGTCGATGAGAGAGAAACATCGACCAGCTGCCTCTTGCACACCCCCCACCGGGGATGTGCCCGCAACCAATGTACATGCCCTTGACCGGAATCAAACCCGGGACCTTTCAGTCCGCAGACAGACGCTCTACCACTGAGCCAAACCAGTTTCGGCATAACTAAGTTCTTTTCATCTAGATTGTTTCAAAGTGAAATTATTAAAGTACACTGATTTAAGCATCTATTTAATTTTTTTTTCCACCAAAATATTCTTATATAAAAAATAAACTAATATCCTTTGGAATTTTATATATATAAATGTTACCCTAATCAGAGTACACAGGATGTTCAAGGCCAATCTAAGCAAGGACATAGCAATCCTAGTATATTCACTGAGCAGGTGTACCTTTCTGTAGCCCAAAAACTGATGTCACTATTTGGCAAGAAGCCTCTCTTGTCTAAGTTAGTATAAAGATGTATTACTGACCAGGTGGTAGGAGGCTGTTTTTATGGAGGCTGGGCTGCTGTGTGTGCAATGGCTCCTATGTTTGCTGAGTCTGCTTTGTGCGGCTACTACTTAGTAAGCTGCTTTAGAGAACTGCTTTGTCTAGTGGCTACTTAGTAGCAATGGCTACTTGGTCTCCTTCTCATGTCTGCTCTAATACTTGGCATCCGTGAAGGTCCAGCTCCTGGCAGAGAAGAACCTGTGCTCTCACTGTCAGTGTAGTCAAGCAGGATCAAACAGTAAGCACTCCAACAGTCACCATCAAACTTTACGACTTCGATGCATCAAGTTCTAAAGGCACATCAATACTTTGCACAAATCTTGAAGTTATCTAGATGACAAAGGTATTTATCTCAAATTTCAGGTCTAAAAGTTTCCTTGTGTTCTAGGCAAAGCTCATACATAGATTATATTCTTTTAGTTGGTGCAAAGATGTAAGGCTAGAAATGACCACTGGTCACTTAAGTCCACTGTATTGAGGACACAATGAAATGAATGTTATCTGGATTAAAAAACCATTGCTAACTGCTGGGAAGTTAAGAGTTTGAATGCTCTAAGGATAAAAAAGATTCATAAGTAGGGAACAACACTATATGAAAAAAGTGAGTAAAAAACAATTGCTTTGAATAAGATAAATTACATAAAATTGGTGAATAATAAAAAGGTAACTATTAGCTAAAATATTTCCAATTGCTAGTTAAAATGAACAGCAGAGCCAAACCAGTTTGGCTCAGTGGATAGAGCGTCGGCCTGCGGACTGAAAGGTCTCAGGTTTGATTTGGTCAAGGCCATGTACCTTGGTTACAGGCACATCCCCAGAAGGGGGTGTGCAGAAAGCAGCTAATCGATGTTTCTAACTATCTCTCTCCTTTCCTCTCTGTAAAAAATCAATAAAATGTATTAAAAAAAATAATAAACAGCAGATGAGAAAACAAAACTATTAATTACCATCCAATACAACCGAATTCCAATAGTATGAATTTGGTTATAATCTGAATGTTTTAGCAAAATTTGCCAGTATGAGTTATCTGAAGAAACACTAATGTAAGAAAAATTATTTCTGGCAATAACACTTTCTCTAGATTTGTAAAAATCTAACTTTATAAAGTTCCCTGCATGCACCTCACAAAGACTGGGTGAGCTGAAGAATAGGGGCCATAGGGTGGTGGGAGGAGGAGGAGGAGGAGGCAGCAAATAAATGGCTCTGAGGCAGGACCAAAGCCTGAATTTCAGGAGGGTTAGTGAGTGCTGTGCTTTCATAGGCCTCACTTTTTTTTAAATCCTCACCCGAGGATATACTTAGGGAATGAGGGAGAAAGATTGAGAGAGGGAGAGAGCGAGAGAACGCTTGGAGGGAGGGCTGAACCCACCACCTAAGTATGTTTACTCATCAGGAATTGAACACTCTACCTTTTGGTGTAACCAACTGAACCACCTGGCCAGGGCAACAAAGCTGCTTTTGAATGCTGGCGGTTCTATTCCTTTGACACTGCTCACTTTTATAATATGTTTCTGTTATATGACAAAATTATCTAATTCCTAATGCAAAAAAGGTTCAATTTAGTACACATAACTGAAGATTCTTATCCACTTGTGTGCTTTTAAATTGGCGCTTAAAGAGTCCATCCTTTGCAAATCATCTATATTGTTCCTTAGGCAATTAATCTTTGCTCAAATTGTTGAAAAGTGGTGGAATGTTTTATGTGTTTTTATTTGTGACTAATGCACATTTTACCTTGACAGATGCAACGCACATGTAGCTGTAATTTTCTGAAAAAGTAAATCTTTTAGGAATTGTTTTTCAAATCTTCAAAGAAAACATCTAATAAAACCCGACATGTATCTCCGATACTTAAGCAGCTTAAAAAAAGGGCAGAGTATAGGAGGTAAACCACCAGCAAAACAGAAATCAAACCTGATGCCAAGACCTTAAGAAAAAGTGCTACTCAGACCAAAAACAGAACAGATTACTTCTATTACCACTGTTCAGATATCACCAATTTCACCAGACCAAAGAAAAAAATATTGAAAATAAGGAAAATAAAATAGATATTTTTAGCAAGTGGTCCAACTCTCTATCCAGAAAGTAACTTAAAAATTACCACAGTAAGAGAATTTTCTAACGTGGCTGGAGATACAAACACAAACAGAAATCAATAGCTTTATCAGTTAGAAAACAAAATGTGAGAAAAAAGATCCCAATGATAATAGCAAGATAATTACAAAATTATAACATATTTAGAAATAGATCTATAATAAATGTGTAATAACTATGAAGAGAAAAAATTTTTTTTGCTTAAGGAAATAAAATGAAGAGCTGAATATGTTCCTAATGGAAGACTGAAAATGTAATCATGTTAAGTCTCAGCCAAAATGATCTGTATACTTAATGCAATTTTAATCAAAATAATTTTTTGAAGTGTAACCCCAAATGATTAAATCCAAATCTCCACAACTACAGCAAGAAAATGAAATCTTTTCTAAGCAAGACAAAACACCCAAAAGCCATAAAGGAAAAAAGATCAACAAATGTGACTACATAAAATATAAACCCCTCTGCCCTAGCCAGGTGGCTCAGTTGGTTGGACCTTTGTCCTGTACACCATAAGCTGGTGGGTTCAATTCCTGATCAGGGCACATACCCAGTATGCCGGTTCAATTCCCAGTCTTCTTGTGTGCTGGAGAAACAAATGACCAATGTTTCTCTCTGTCTCAAGTAAAGACTTTCTCAGGTGAGAAGAAAAAAATTAACAGAAATCCTCCAAGCAAGAAAAGATTAAAAAAAAAACCAAACCAACAAACCTAAAAACCAGGGGGAAAAGGGGTTAATATGCTTCCATATTTTAAAAAGTAACAAAACATTCAAGCTTCTCTCTTCCATTTTTTTCTTGGAGGCAACCAAATTTTTGGTGGCCTTGTTTCAACAAGGCTGAAAAAAAAATTCATAAATTAGTATAAAACCCCCAGCAACAATAGGAAGTCAGACAGTTGCTCTTAATAGACAGGTCACAATGAAACACAGTAATATGAAACACCCCTAATAGCACCAGAGATTAAACTATTGACAAAATCAGAAGGATCACAGCTGAACCAAATGGTTACTTTAGGGGTTACTTTAGGGACTAAAATTTTCTACATTCTACAATTTTTGAATTTTATAAAATGAAAATGCATTACTTTTCTAGCTAAAATAAAAAAGTAAAACAATTATTTTATAAGAGCTAATTTACATATTCCTTTCATGAGATTTTACAAAGATGTATTTATTACCTCTTGGTCCAAGTTATATTCTTCATTTGAATTAAGTGCAACCTTCACAGTAATATAATCCCCATTTTTTACAGCATCTCTCAATAAATCTAAAATGAAAGAAACGATATTAGGATTCTGTATCTAGATTCATGAAAAGAATCCACATAACTCCCAAACTACTCACTAGTTGAAACAGCATCTGTTACAGAAAAGTTCTCATCTTCCCCATCAAGATGCTTTTGAAAATCTTCTAGTTTCATCCATTCCAGCTGCAGGTCCATGCCCAGACTCAAAATCTGCTGTCTGCCATCTGGAACATAGAAGGACTTTAAGATATTTTTCTTTGGTACTGACTTAACCAAAACTTTATGTACACCTTTAACATATGTCATTATATAACTGAGTCTTCAATGAAATTTCTGATTTTCTTTGTCAAGAAACATAAACTACCCATATTTAGAAGTTACAATGCTTCAAAAGCTTGAAGATAAACTGGTAAACTATCCTATGTAACACAAATTAACCCTAACAGAGGACTGATCAGAATGACTGGTTGCAATGATGCGCACTGACCACCAGGAGGCAGACGTTCAATGCAGGAGCTGCCCCCTGGAGGTCATTGTGCTCCCACAGGGAGAGCTCTGCTCAGCCACAAGCCAGGCTAACGTTAGTGCAGCAGTAGCCGTGGTGGTGGTGGTGTGGCCGCCTCTCCCTCCTCCTCCTCTGCAGCGCTAAGGATGTCCCCAAGGGCTCCCTGGCTACAAAGGAATGTCTGACTGCCAGCTTCGGCCCGTTCCCCTGGGGAGCAGGCCTAAGATGACAGGTGGACATCCCCAGTGAGGTCCCGGACTGGGAGAGGACGCAGGCCGGGCTGAGGGAACCCCTGAGTGCACGAGTTTCCGTGCTCCGGGACTCCAGTTAACTATAAAATAGTAAAATATGAATTTAAGTATAAGATTAAGTAGCTCAAGGAAGAGAAAAACTAGAGTCAGAAAGAGGAATTGCTAACATTTCTTTCTTTGGCCATTCTTGTACATTGCTTTCAATCATTGGAAATGTGTAAATCAGACCTGTGTGTAAATAAAAGTAAATGCCCTTTGATCCTTCCAGATTCAGCTCACACTTTTCCTCCTGAAAGCTTCTCTACTAAGTGTACTCCAGGCCCCACCACCACCATGAAGCAAATTGCTGATCTCAGCTGTCTGGTTCCTGGATTCAACACTAGGACGGACAGTTCATCCTCTGTTGACAGTGTGGTGAGTGAGTCTTAAGCATAACTCATTCGGGAGAAATTCAAAATGACTGAATAGCACAAACAGTTAAAGGATTTTCACCTAAAACCAATTCCTCAAATGACACAGATATTAGGCAGTTAACCTTGCCATAGAAATGGAATTTGTAAAAGCCACGCAAATACATTTTCCCCAAAGCTCTCAACTGGAACCAGCACCGAGCATGGAGACATGACAGCACAGCCTCCAGAATGACATACCTGGGTCTGTACTCCAGCTCCCTGTTAGTTGTATGACTTTTAAGTCGCAGTACTCATTGTACCTCCCTCTCTGAATAGAAATAGCAGCAACACTCCATAAGAATTGTGTAATTATTTCTGTGAATTAATGCATTTAGACTGAATAATGACCTGTGAGGTCATCGACGAGGAAAGCAAGCCAACTCCTCCCACAACTGTGGGAAACCACAAACCCCAGGAAGCACTGGGGAGGGCATACAAATGAGAATCCATACTAACGGAGACAATGCCATCTAATTTGCAGTACTGTTAAGTAACAGAACACAGAGCTCCAAATCAAGAGCTCTCTTCCCCATGAATGTGTGTCTATCTGGTTTTTAGATCTGAAAGGACCTGATTCTGAGATGTCTGAACACACCCAGTTAAGTGCTGTTATCTCCTGCTATAGTTTTATACAGCGGCCTCAAGAGAACACGGGGCGATTACCACTGATGCCCGATACATGGGTGGTCTAGTTGGGAAAATGCCCAGCAGGGTTACAGCTGTTATTCACGACACTGTCCATGTGGAAACAGAGAGGGTCTGCAGCAGCCAGTGGGCTGAACTCAGTAGTTTGGCTGATGATCAGCCAGGTGCCCTGGCCATTAATACTTTGCACTAACAGGAGGGATAATCTCTGTGGCTCAGTGTAAAGCCACAGGTGGATGATCAAGAGTGAGCTTTTGTGGGGTCAGGACATGTAGAAATGCATTTGAGTCCACCTGCAAGAGCCTAAGGCTCCTTCCTTTCCCACATCCCAACACATGAGGCACTGACACCCCCTGGCAATCAGGAAAGGGAGGTCCTGACAGCTGACTCTTCAGTGGGCGTAACAGAGGGGCACATATGAGTGGCCACCACAGCACCTGGGTGGGATGGGAGTATCGCTCCAGGAACAGTGACAGTATTAAACAATTCACAGGGCAACTGCCACAGGAGTTGGGGACCACACATTCATTGTAGCAGCGCCTCCCTCCAAGTGGGGCAAACCGAAGCTATGCAAACCAGGCTGCCACTCCCAGAGAATTAGAGAAGTTGAGAAGACAGTGAGGGCGTCACGTTTCAGTGATCATAATGTGCTAGACTGGACAACTGTATCAAGGGGGATGGGCCTCCATGACATGACTGGAGGCCCATCCCCCTTATGATCTACAGGCAACAGGGCCAGGAGAAAGGAATGAGTAGTAAAGCCTCAGATTACGTTACTAACAGTAATCCACTTTGCCAAGGCGGGCTAAAGCAGTGGTTGGCAAACTCATTAATCAACAGAGCTAAATATCAACAGTACAATGATTGAACTTTCTTTTGAGAGCCACATTTTTTATTTTTTTTATTTTATTTTTTTTTATTTTTATTTTTTTATTTTTTTTTATTTTATTTTTTTTTATTTATTTTACATATTTTATTGATTTTTTTTGCCCCCCTCCTTCCCTCCCACGTATCCCCTCCCTCCCCAGAGTTTTATGTCCATTGGTTGTACTTATATGCATGTATACAAGTCCTTGGGTTGATTTATTATCTCCCCCAGATCCTCCTCCACTCCCCGTTGTAATTTGTCAATCTGCTTGTTGCTTTACTGTCTCTATATCTATCTTTTGGTTCATCAGTTTATAATGATCTTTATTATCCACAAATGAGTGGGGTCATGTGGTGTTTCTCTTTCATTGATTGGCTTATTTCACTCAGCATGATGTTCTCCAATTCCATCCAGGTTGCTGCAAATGATGAGAATTCCTTCTTTTTTATGGCAGCATAGTATTCCATTGTGTAGATGTACCAAAGTTTTTGGATCCAATCATCAGCTGACGGGCACCTAGGCTGTTTCCAGATTCTGGCTATTGTAGATTGTGCTGCTATGAACATAGGGGTGCATATATCCTTTCTGATTGGTGTTTCTAGTTTCTTGGGATATATTCCTAGAAGTGGGATTACTGGGTCAAATGGGAGTTCCATTCTCAGTTTTTTGAGGAAACTCCACACTGTTCTCCACAGTGGTTGCACCAGTCTGCATTCCCACCAGCAGTGCACGAGGGTTCCTTTTTCTCCGCAACCTCGCCAACACTTGTTGTTTGTTGATTTGTTGATGTTGGCCATTGTGACAGGTGTGAGATGGTACCGCATTGTTGTTTTGATTTGCATCTCTCGGATAATTAGTGACTTTGAGCATGTTTTCATGTGCCTTTTGGCCTTCTTTCTGTCTTCTTTTGTAAATATTCTATTTAGGTCCATTGCCCATTTTTTAATTGGATCATTCATCTTCCTTTTATTTAGTTGTATCAGCTGTCTGTAGATGTTGGAGATTAAACCTTTATCCGTGGTATTATTTGCAAATATATTCTCCCATACCGTGGGCTTTCTTGTTGTTTTGTTGATGGTTTCTTTTGCTGTAAAAAAACTTTTTATTTTGATGTAGTCCCATTTGTTTATTTTCTCTTTAGCTTCCATTGCCCTAGGGGCAGTATCAGTGAAGAAGTTCTTTTGGCATACGTCTGAGATTTTGCTGCCTGCGGATGCTTCTAGTATTTTTATGGTTTCCCGTCTGATGTTTAAGTCCTGTATCCATTTTGAGTTTATTTTTGTGTATGGTGTAAGTTGGTGATCTAGTTTCATTCTTTTGCATGTGTCTGCCCAATTTTCCCAACACCATTTATTGAAGAAACTGTCTTGACTCCATTGTATATTCGTGCCTCCTTTGTCAAATATTAATTGAGCATAGTGATTTGGGTTGATATCTGGGTTCTCGATTCTATTCCATTGATCTATATGTCTGTTTTTGTGCCAGTACCAGGCTGTTTTGAGAACAGTGGCTTTGTAATACAGTTTGAAGTCTGGTATTGAGATCCCTCCTACTTTACCCTTCTTTCTCAGGATTGCTGTGGCTATTCGGGGTCTTTTATTGTTCCAAATGAACTTTTGGAGAGTTCTTTCTAGGTCGGTGAAATATGCCGTTGGTATTTTAATGGGGAGTGCATTGAACCTGTAGATTGCTTTAGGAAGTATGGACATTTTGATGATGTTGATTCTACCGATCCATGAACATGGTATATTCTTCCATCTCTTTACATCTTCCTCTATCTCTTTTTTCAGTGTCATGTAGTTTTCTGCATATAGGTCCTTTACTTCCTTAGTTAAATTTATTCCTAGGTATCTTAATTTTTTTGGTGCGATGGTAAATGGAATTGCTTTTTTAATCTCTGTTTCTATAGTTTCGCTGTTGGTGTATAGAAATGCCGTGGATTTCTTGGCATTAATTTTGTATCCTGCTACATTGCCAAATTCATTTATTAAGTCAATTAGTTTTTTAATGGAGTCTTTTGGGTTTTTTATGTATAATATCATATCATCTGCAAATAAGGATAACTTTACTACTTCTTTTCCAATTTGGATGCCTTTTATTTCCTCCTCTTGTCTAATTGCAATGGCTAGTACTTCCAGTACTATGTCAAACAGGAGTGGCGAGAGTGGGCATCCCTGTCTTGTTCCTGTTCTTAGAGGGAATGGTTTTAGTTTTTGCCCATTGAGTATAATGTTGGCTGTGGGTTTATCATATATAGCTTTTATTATGTTGAGGTATGATCCTTGTACTCCCACCTTGTTGAGAGTTTTTATCAGGAAAGGGTGTTGGATTTTATCAAATGCTTTTTCTGCATCTATTGATATGACTATATGATTTTTATCTTTCAGTTTGTTTATGTGATGTATCACGTTTATTGATTTGCGGATATTGTACCATCCTTGCATTCCTGGAATAAATCCTACTTGGTCATGGTGTATGATCTTTGTGATGTTCATCTGGAGTC